GAAAACAAATTTTAAAAATATTTAGAGCACAAATGGGAAAATGGCACGTCTTTGTTTGGGATAGTCTTTAAATTCCTTGCGATAGTTACGATGTTTACCCAAAGCCCAAACAGTCATTTGATAGGCGCCAGCCACAGCAAACAAGAATGCTGATAGGCAGGAGGTCATAATGGAGAATGAAACCCAGGCACCAATTTCATAAGTATAATTAGGGCAAGAAACCAAGCTAAAAAAGAAAAAGTTATAACAATTTACATTATGCTAATTAAATGAATGTATTAAATAACTTACTGGAAGAGGTTGGTTAGAGGATTGCCATCAGGAACAGGAATTCTGCGTATTTTAGTGCCAGGAGGTCTCAAGTTACGCAAAGCAATGTGTACAGAGAAATTACCCAATTCGCAGAACTAAAAATAAAATTAATGTTTATGAAATATTTTCTCTTTATATTTATGCATAAATAATTTCTTAAGGTATTTTGTTGTTCTTTTGCAAAGTGTATTTTCAAAGTCCATTAAGTTCAATGGGTGAACAAAAAATCGACATACTTTTAGTATTAATCAAAACAAATGTAAAAAAAACCATACATCTACTATTGTTTATTGAACCTTTCAGCGTATATAAAAATGTCTTTTTGGAGTATTCGAGGATATTTCTTAATAAAAATGTACAGGAAGGAATGCATTCGGTTATTTCCGTCTTTATTGGTTAAACACAATTTAAATGTTCGGAAAACGCTTGATATTACTACGCTAATGGAGTGTTTCACTGTATGTGTAAATGCTAGACATACTTTATAGAAATTCTCTAAAATTGTTTACTTAGGCCGCATTGTTTATATTTGAATATGTAAATTCTTTAACTCAATTTGTTAATATAATAATGTCTAACTAAGTCTATGCATTAATTCTCTACTTACCACAAAACCAGCTAATGCAGCCCAAACTTGACACATACAGGGTTCGGTGAACAATGGATGATTGACATGATACGATACATAAGCAGTGAATCCCCAATAGTAAGAGCAATTCTTGAAGAGATTACGCAAGGGCATAGTAGCATGAGAGAAACGATGAACAAATATTGTTTCCAACAAACGCTTCACATAGTGGACTGTATAACAAGCAGCAGCAATGCTATAAAAAATAAAACAAAATACACATTAATGAATTACCACAAATGACTATAAAAAGAAACAGGTGAAGATAATTAATGCAAAAATGAAAAATAAAAAAAAAAATATTCAAATTATACATTTATGCGCGCTTAGTTGATGATGAAGTTTTTTTTGTTACGACATTTCATTCGATGCGTTAATCGAAATCGCATAAAGGTCAAATTGGGTTAAACATCATTATGCGGTGTTTGCTGCTTTTCTTTTGCAATCAACAGCTATAGAAATTTATTGTTAATAACTAAATGGTTTGACAGAAAAAGAAAGTTAACAACTTATTATTATGTTTTATGCTTTTATACATGTTTTCTTTCCAACCATTTTATCTATTGATTACTATCTATTGACCACTATCAAAAAACCACTTACTGTGTTGTTAAAGAAATGGGCAGGGTAGCCGATTTGCCGTAGACTAATTCTGGTCTAGTATAGAAGAGCAAATATACAATAAGTGGTCCAGCATATTCAGCCAAGAAAACAGTCTTCCAGCCAATTTGTGGTCCCAAATCCTTGATGTAAACACTAGCACCAGCGCGTAAATTTAATGATTGCAAAGTGTCGGTGTCTTTTAGAGATTTACCACGGGGTTCCAAACGTAACGATTGTCTGTTGGCATTTGGTGTTGATTTCAACTTTTGGTGTATCAACTCCCTTAAATCACCAATATTTGTGCCTGCTGGTGCTGTAACTTTTCCATAGGGCTTAGAGTTTTTGGCATTTAAAATTTCTAACTGCAAAGTAAAATGTAGGGTTTAATTTAAAGATTTTACATTAAATAAGTTTATTTATTACCTCCATTTCTTTTTAATTTAATAATGGTCACTAGTCAAGAAAAAAATTCCAATTGATTCAACACCTAACGACCGTATTCCACGGACGCGTCTGCTCTCGAAGAAGTTTGTAAAATGACAGGGAGAAATTCAAAGTTCAATTGTGGAGAAAGTTCATTTGTGTATTTTTTTTAATGTCAGGGGAATAAAGTAGAATTGAATCATGCTGACAGGGTGACACAGTAAACTCATTGAGAATTAGTTTTCTTGAAGAGAACAAAAGTTAATTTTGAAACCTATTTTTTTCTCAGAAAATAAAACTTATTTTTTACCTTACACACTTTATTAATCGATTATCCGGGTCGATTAAGCCGTAACCTTCCATGTAATCAAAGTTTTAAACAAAATTCTAAAAAATTTTAAAGATTTTCTTTCTATTCATCCATCTATAATTTTGTTAATGGTAAATAAGACCATGTTACCCTGTTGAGCGTTTTGTATACAACACTGAATTACAATAATTCACAATAATGCTAGAACAAAAGAAATTTGTGAATAAAGTTGCCAGACAATGCAAAACAAAAATCGTCTACACATTTTATAACATTTACAAAAAAATAATTTATATATTATGAAAGGTTTACAAAAAGTGGATTTAAGAATCACAAAAGCTAAAAGTATATATAATTTTCGGAAACGTAATATACATTTTTATGAAATTGCCATTGGCTTCGAAAATCGTTAAAATAACTATATCTCCAGCGTGGCAACGTTGTGTTGAAGTGATTTTTTTTGTTATTTTGCTTCTTCTATAAATTCCGCGGTGAGTTATATTTTTTTTGCGACGACCACCAGGCTCGCCGAAATTTGGATTTTTGTATATAAATCGCAAAGAAACCAACAAAAAATTTTTCAAAATTAAAGTGTGTAAATAAATGTTTAAATTTTAAGAAAAAGACATTAAAATGGCTAGCAACGTAGAAGAAAGGTTAGTATTTCTCAGAGGAATGCAGTAGAAAACTTACTGCGGTGATACGAAAACTGTCATCATATATCATCTCTTCGACTGGGGGAAAGAATGATGGATGCATTTCTTCTGAGATTGTTTTATTAATTGTTATGCAATGTTCTAATTTGGAGTTTCTTTTGTTGGCAAATATTAGGAATATATTAACGGATATTATGGATATATTTTTTATGATAATTAAATATTAATATGCTTATTCTTTTGTGTTAAACGAGACTTTTCAGTTTTATTTTTTTGTATTATTTTTTGTATTTATGCCTTCTTAACATATATTCTGTCATTACCTTCATGTTCGCAGTTCTACCTACGCTTTGTGGGAGGCAATTGGGTTGTTTGTCGTTTATTATTGTTTATTTATGTTAGTTGTACCTCTTCAGGCTATGTATGCATCATCACCTTTTTAAAAACAAACAGTAATAAGCATCTTAAATGAAAAGCTGACCTTGAACTCTAAACCGGATTTATTTATCTTATATCTTTTCTTTTTATATATTTGTTGACATTTTGCTAATGGTTGTTTTGTTCTCTATTACAGTTCTAAAAAAGTTCCCACATTTCACATTATCCGTGAGGTCTACGACAGTACCAATGCCCATCAACGTTTCGAAGCCGAACTCGATAAGGCTCTGGAGGCCAAGGTGGATTATATTATCATAGAGCCGCCACGTCTGGGCGACGAGACTGGCCGTTGGATAACAGTGGGCAATTGTTTGCATAAAACTGCTGTTGTCTCGGGTATGGCTTCGTTGTTGTCAAGTCTTTTGTGGCATAATCGTCCTGTGATTGCTGGTCCCATGTGTGCTGTTTCGTTATTTTGTACCGGTCTGTATACAGTCTCATGGAATTATGATCCCTGTTGTCAATACCAGGTATTAGTAAATTAGCAGAGTTTGAAAATGTTTAATTTTTATTTATTGTTTTTCGAAATTTTATTAGCGTGATATTTTTATTTAATAATACCTTTAAAACATCCTTTACATAGTAACTAATTTTCTCCAAATTTCTTTCTTGACAAACAGGTGGAAAATAATGAAGAAGTACTCAATAAACTGCCTTTAGCTGATGTTTCTTCGCCTGTGATCTTGGGCTATCAACCCAATACAAAAACCAAATATTTACATCGCAGTGTTACCCTACTCTCGGCTGCGTTTTGTGCTTGGCAAATCTGGCGTTCGTACAAGTAGTTTAAATAATTCAATATTAAACAATAAAATCAAACAAACCTATAAACAAGTAAAGTTCGAAATGAACAACTCCCCCTGCACATTTGTTTAAAGCAGCTTTCTTTAAGGTTTAAAAGAAAAAACAAATAACGAAAACAATGTATTTTAATATTAAAGAAATGAAAGTAGTGAGAGTGGGAAAAAACGTTAAAAAGGAAACCAAAATATCTCAGTTTTATTTTATACTACTTGTTTATTTTTTATAATTTATTTAATTAAAGGATATCAATCAAGCCAGTGAGTGTATTTTGTTTAAAACAATATGCAATCCATTAATAAGTTTCTTAAACAAAACTTTTTTAAATTACATTAAATGACATGCATTTTTTTTAAATAATTATAAATTAGGAAGACACTGTTAAATTTAATATGTTTAGCTTGTGGTTGTTTTTTGCTGTTTTTTTTTTTAACACACCAACAAATATGTCGTCCTTCCAGTGTTTCAAAAATGTTTAAAGTCTACAACAAAAATGATAACTATTAAATGCTATTTAGAAAATTTTAAGTTTTGGCTTTAAAGTTTAATTTATATAATAGTTTTTAAATTTGAACAAATTGTAGTTAAACTATTTTGTTTCTTTTTTTTGCGTTTCTTAAGTAACAGCAATATTTTTAAAGTTTTATTTTCTTAAAAGTAATATTTGTAAATTATTTGTTTGTATTATTAAAACTTTAAAAATAATGGCTGTTTGTTTTGATATTAAATTAATTTTGTAAACATATATATTAAATTCGAAATTATTTAGTGAATTTTAAGATATTTTAAAATTATAAATCTTAAATTGTTATAGAATTATATTAAAAAAACCAAACAAAAATTCACAAAAAAATGTTCTGTAGACAAAAACATAAACCAAAATAAAAAGAAATTAAGAAAATAATTAAATAATAATGAAATAGTTATGGAAACTTAAAGGTAAGTGCTTTTTGGGATAATTTAACCATGGCGACAGGTCTCAGTGATTGATTTAAGACTCAGAAATATACTTTTCAATCTTGATGATATAAAGAATGTCCAAAGTTGTTCGAACTTAATACGTATTTAAACTCAAATTATCAAAATTTTTGCAAATTTTCTTAAATTGCCCACCTTAATGTATATAGGCAAAAATATTCATCGATATTCTATTCTGCTTTTCGAACCAAATAGAAATTGTGTCCATCTAGCATATGTATTTGATATTCTTCATGTTTTACGATTATAGCTAAGTTTTTTTATATAAACAAACGCCATATTTAAAATTTCTAAGTACATAAAACAATTTATATATTAAACATCATATATAATTATTATAAATATATAATTATTTATTATATACCACGAATAAAATAGAAAATACCAATTTGGTATTATAAAAAAATAATAGTCCCTAAAGTTATTTACAGGAAATTAACTTTTTCATTACTTTTAGTTAAAAAATTATTAAGTTTCTCCCGTCAATTTTGTAAAATATGAAGATAATTTTACAGTTTAAAATTGTTGAACAATTCAATCCTTTTTCAAATATTTCAAAGCCTCTTCCATAGATTTAGCAATTGCTTGTGTCGAATCTGCAATGGTAGCTAAAGCCTGAGCCTGTCTATTTGTGGCCTCCGCCATAGCTTTTGTGGCTGCCGCTTGCATTCGCATTACCTTAAATATTTTATCTTGGGTTTGTACCTGTTGCTGTAATAATCTAAATTGTAATTCCATTTTATCGAATTTTCTTTTACCCAATACTGGAGGTTGAGGAGTTGCTTTCGATTTTTTCGTTGTTTTTGATTTCTTTGCACTTGTTTTTGTTTGCGGTTGTTGGGAAGTTGAAGCGGTAGCCTCTGTTTCCATTTTAACTTCATAGGAATTAATTAAATCATCAAAGACCACATCAAATTCCTCAACTGGCAATTCATCCGGTAAAGGCATTGCTGAAAATTGCAATATTCTATCTACAGTTTGCTCTAGGTCTGTTAAAGGTATGCGAGAGAAGCCTTTCTCGCCATTTGAATGTTTTTTGTTTTCGTAGACTTTTCTTTTGGTGCGCGATTTAAAATCAGCCCAGATCTTTAAAGTAATATTTTAATATCATATACAGCTATATATTAAGCCAAGTACCAACCTTTTTCCATTCGAATCCTGTTCTCTCAGGTGGTCCAAAAGAATTAACTTCACGTGCCACATTATTCCAGGCCTCTTCCAGTAAAAGTCTTTCTCTAGCACCACTGGCCGGCAAGCATTTTGCCAATTTTTCATTTGATTCCATCAAACTTATCAGCACTTGGAATTGGTTACTATTGGTTACTTTAAAGCTAGTGAAGATTGTTATTACCGTTAATTTTCTTCAAATTACACTTTAACGTTTCTATATTTACCTCCTCTTTTCCGCTGTTGTTGTTGCTGTGTCCATCTTGTATTAAAATGTTAACTTTATTTTCTTTGCTAAATGTTTTCCAATATTTTTCACTAAGGTTTTTTTATAATATTTTCAAACTGAAATTTATGTTTGAAAATTTAAATTCTTAACATTTAAATTGCAAATATATTCATTTGACTTATAAAAACTGAAAATAACATGTATTCGTCTTATAATGTTTTGGTAAAATTTCATTGACAAGTTTCATTCGTTTGTTAAAAACAGGCTGTAAATTAGTGTTGTTAACTTGTTGTTTTTAAGGAAATAGATTTTCATCACATTGACGATTTAAATGTATTAAAAATTTTTTATATTAAAATTTTAGACAAAATTAAAATAATTTACGATCATATGTAAGTTTTTGCACTTATTTTAAATAAATTTCTTTATTAATTGCATTTTGTTACATATTTTCTTTTTAAACTTTTTAAGCGTGTTTTTACAAATGTTATTGGCATTACTAAACAAACTGTTTGACTTGTAATAGTGTTGCCAGAAAATCTTTTTGAAAAAGTCTTGCAGCAAAACAAACAGAATTTTACACATACTTTTACACGGAAATGTAAACATGTAGATAATTAAGTAAAAAAGTAGATAAAATCGTATAAAATAAGGAGAAATTGTAATAAAATAAAGACAAATAACATATTTAAAAAAAAATGTATGAAAATTTCTTAGATTATTTCGAATTGTTTTTTAATACTTAGAACGAACCACATGTTAATTTTTGTCAGGGACACCAACAACTTCCATTTTGGGGCCATTCTAATATACATACATAAATATGTATAAATATCTACAAACATGAATGTATGTACTTACATGGGATTACGCCGTGTCTATATTAGCCAAATATTTATCACGATACTTGACAAAACGTCGGCAGAAAAATTGTCAGTTTTTTGTTTATGTTAATGCATAGGGGTAACAAAATGCTGATTTTATCACGACAACTCACAGATAATTCTATTGAAATAATGCTAAATTTTATAAAAACAATTAAAATTTAATGAAAATTTTGTAAATAAACACTAATTTCACTAAAACTTATGTTAAAAATCAATTTTAATTGCACAAAAACAAAATTCTAAACAAATTTTACAATAAAATGACGTTTGTTATCAAGACAACGTTGTCTAAACAATTGTTTAGACAACACTGTCATAACGACGTTATAACGCTAATAAATGCCGTCTGTACCTGCTAATTTTTTATCATGATAACAATTTGACGTTTAGCATAATAAATATTTGTCTAATATAGACACGGGGTTAGGACAAATGGATATAGTAGGGTTCTATAGTTGAAACGAAAAGTCGACTTTTCGACTTTTTTCATTTAGTTAAAAGTCGACTTTTCGACTTCCCGACTTTTTGCATTTTATGAAAAGTCGATTTTTCGACTTTTTTCATTTAATTAAAAGTCGACTTTTAGACTTTTCGACTATAAGTATTTTATAAATAGTCGGCTTTTCGACTTTTCGAATTTTTCCGACTTTTCGATTTTTTTGACTTTTGACTATTTTCGACTTTTTTCGACTATTCTTGAATTTTTTCGAGTTTTTCCGACTATTTTAGAGTTTTTGACTTCTTTTTCCCACTTTTTTTTTAAGATTTTCGACTATTTTTGACTTGTTTCTACAATTTTCGAGTTTTCGACTTATCCGACTTTTCGACTTTTTCCGACTTTTTTCGAATTTTTTCGACTTTTTACGACTTTTTTCGACTTTATTCGACTTATCGACTTTTTTCGACTTTCAGACTTTTTTCGACTTTTATTAACAAAGTCGACTTTTCGACTTTTTTCACAAACCATAGTCGGGTTATCGACTTTTTTGGAACAAAATAGTCGACTTCGACTTTTCGACTTTTTTCGACAAAAAGTCGATTGTTCGATTATTCGAAAGTCGATTTATAGAACCCTAGGATATAGTGCCCATTTGTCTATTAAATTTTTGACATTTTTTAGATGTTTTTCAAAATTTTTGATCTACAAACTAATAAATACTGTAAAAACTTCCCCGACCACAGCTGTAACTATGAAATGTTTATTTATTTAGTTCCATAACCGCTCTCATTAAAGAGAATTTGTAACTGTTACTGTACTTTTTTAAACTTTCGTTTACTGCATTTCAGCATGTACTTTTAATCCTCTCTATTTCGAATACACTCGTCTCTGTTTTGAAAACTTCTTATCTGTAAAATTGTAGCGAAACATAAAATATTATCGGTTCTTTAGAAGGCTTGTCCTTTTTTTTTCATATACTCTACGTGTATTTAATCAAGAATCAATTTTAACATGACAAAACAAGTAAAAACCGAAATGAGATGAAGAAAGATTTAAAAAAAAAGATCGTTTGTTCATTTGTCGTCTAGGAAATAATTATTTATTTATTTACATAAAGCGTACTTCTTTGTCTGTTTGTTCTATAATAATCTGTACCAGAAATTACGACAACAAAAAAGCATAAAATAAATAATTAACGAAAATCCAAAAACAATAAATTAACTACTCCCTCCTCCATACCCATGTAGCAAAGCAAAATGCAGGCAAATGTCGAAAATAATTAAAGAAAACCCGAAAAGATTGCATTGTAGTGGATTTTTGTTGTAAAAATTATCTTTAAATATATTCAATTTGTGTATTATTACAAGAACCCAAAAACAAAAAAAAGTAAAACAAAACAAAACATAATTCAAGATTATAAAATAGACCTAATTTTCAACAACAGCTTTTAGTCGCTTTCACACATTCCCCTAGTACTTCGTTCGCACTTGATTCTCTGCTGCAGTATTGTATTGAAATTCAAATCGAGTATTTGAATTTCCTAAATTGTTTCTAAAAGAATTCTGTTAAAAAATATGATCAATTTTGGCTGGTCTACAAAACTAAACCGCAACTTGCGTGTTGGTAGTACCAAATTGGACTATTCATATCAAAATTAAATAAAGTTAACTTATCCGCCCATAAAAAACGAAATTTTTTTATGATCAACCAAGTTCAAGGAACAAGTGTTATTAGTGAAATAAATGTGTATATACTTATAGTATAGAGTGTGTTTTCAAGAATATATTCTATATATTAAACGAAAATATATTGCAATTATCCATAATGAAGGGTGAGTCATATAAAATGCATTAAAATTATTCTATATAATTAATATCTCATATGTATATACATAAATGGACCTAATTACAGGACTCATTTTAGTAATTAGTTTTAATGACAAAATATTAGCTAGAACCTTTTTTTTTTGTTTTGGATTGACGACAATGCCGGTGCCGTTTTTTATATTCTTAAATTTTACAATATATTATATAGGGAAATCCATTTAAGTCATGTTTTTTTAAATATTAAGTCACGACAAATATTCTTATCAAAAACCTTGTCAATATTTTTATTTTTGAACACATGCTGAAGAAAATGTTTTTGAACCTTTGCACAGTGGAAAGTTTTGAAAAAGAAAGATCCTACCACTTAAGTTTCGATTTTTTAAACTCGCCTCCATATAAATATTATTCAGAAATAGAGTTAAAAATAACAAAGGTCAACAAAATTTGGAAAAAGTCGAAACATCATCACATTTCCAGATATAGAGTCATAAAAATTCCATTTAAAAAGAAGATATAGCAGAGGTTAAAGGTTAAAGCTATGTATGTTTTAAAGTCGAAATATTAGACATTAAAATTTTATAAAGGTTTTTTTAGCGGTGTTATAACATCTCAAAACTGATCAAAACGGGGTTACACGATATCTTGAAAACTTGATGTTATGGAGAAATTCTGAGTCCAGATTCGGTAATCTTACTCAAATTTAGTACAAGTTAGTTCTAGGAGACTAAAAATCAATTTGTAGAATTATATTAAAAAAATCGGGTCATATTAAACATAATAGGCAATTCCGTGTTCTAAACATAAACTTCTCTATATTTGAAATTTTTCTATAATTAAATGACTCCATACTATGCTAAGGATGCTAACCTTGATTATTATTGATATATTGATAATAAAGTGGTTTTCTGAAAGAGGGATTATATAGGCCGTAGAGTCCATAACGGACCGATCCTTATGATATTTGATTCATAAAAGATTTTAGTTTATAAAAAACTTATTTATGTCAAATTTCATCGATCTACTGGTATTTTAAGACAGTTATAAACGTTATTTCCATATATAAATGTGAAGACTGGAATCGAATGTAGACGGACATGGCTAGATCGTATAATAAGATAGAATATATATGTATGTGTAATTTTGGGGGTCTACGACTGATATTTCAATGTGTTATAAACGGAATTATAACATACATGTATATAAAGCTTCCATCTTACAATTTTCAATGAAAATTGGATTTATTTAATCTTGACAAATAAGTGGACTTAGTACCTTTATACTGATACAAAAAAAAAAAAAACGTAAAACTAATAAGTTGTCGATCAAATACCTTTAAAATTCAAGATGAGAATATGTACTGAAAGAATTGAATAAAAATTTATACATGACGAACTGTGTAAATTAAGTCAAACACCTGACTATATATTATAGGTTTTTTATCGAATATCTTACGACGCTATCTCTGTATTATAGATTTAACAAGAGAAAAAGATAAGTTTAGATAAGAATATTTCTTTATTTAATCAAATATCTACAATCGGACATGTTCCTAAAAGATTTCTTCTTTTGCAATATTCAACTCAAACTTTACACTTCCATATTAGTTAAAAAGTACTAAACAAAAATTATATTAAAATCTTATTAAAAAAATAAAATGCCATTAATTTTAACCAACAATGGCTTTGATCTCTTCGTATGGAATTTAAGAACTCAAACGCACAGTTATCAACCTTATGCGATTTATTATAATTTAATAAAGAAATTAGCGCATACATTAATTAAATTCATATTTGCTTTAAATTTATTTAAATCTTTCTGTTTGACCTCTTCTGAAGGTATACAACAACGTCGTAAATATTATGGATCATTGGATGATACGGTTATAACGATCGAAGCTGATGAGAGTACACCTCTATTGGCGGATCATTTAATATGGCCGGACAACAACAATAACAGTAATAAAAGTGACAATGAATCGGAAAAGCCAACCTTAAAATATGGTGTATCGTCTTGGTCATTTGGCAGCAGTAACGCGAGTAGTAATGGCAGTGATTATAGTGCCTTCAGTACAAAATCATTTAAAAGTCATTTTACAGAATTGAGAGTATTGTTATTTGCATTGATCTTAACAGCTGCACTAAGCATTGCCATTTATTTACTTGTAATTGAATGTAAGTTATTTGAGAGACGAACGAGGAGTAAACGTTATTAATTTTTTAGTTTTAAGAGTATACAAATAATAAAATATTTATAGAGTTTGTGGAGAAGTAAAGATATTTAATTTATGTTTAACAAATAAACTTTGTCAATCGATCTATATCTATTTTCTTAACTATTATTACGTTAATCTGTCGATATATGTATGTATATTAATGAGTTTTACTCAAATCGTACATCTATTGACCTTTATCGTTGGTATATAGCACAAGACGATTAGATATTTTCAAACTAAGAAGATTTGTACCAAACTCAATCAACATAAAATTGGAGAGTTCATTCACTTGTGTAACAAAAGCAATGACTGTCCATCACATTTAAAGAGATGTCAAAAAGTCTGTGGGATTTCTATTCCATTAGTAATATAAAAAAATATGTTTGAAAACAAACATTGATTTCAAGAACCCTTGATCTGAAAAGATAATAATAGAAAAAGCGAACATCAGATTGAACGTATAGTAACAATTAAAATACTAATCGCCAAGAACCTAGAGCTGACTGATCACCATATATGATGCGCTAAAATCTACCAGAAGACCCATAACTTCGTACAGAAGTCTGTGATCAACCAGATTTTCTATTTTAAGTGAAAAATTTTCTAGGTTTCATATTTTATTTCTAATCATAAAAGATAGATTCTAATATAAGTTGTTATCGAACATAATTTTTAAACTTTTCAACAAAATTTGAAAAAAGTATAAAACAAAGTATACTTCTCTGAGTTGAATTCGAATCAGAATTTCTTCAGCACAGAATGTTTTCCAGATATCGTGTCATAAATATTGAAAAGCCAATGTTAAAAACAACTATAAATTCCAATAAACATACGGAAAAAATTCAGCAGACGATATCTCAGCAAATACAAGATATTTTTAAACAATTCAAAAAGCATTTTTAAAGGGAAATTTAAGGCAAATTGTGACATATAAATTTGTCATAAAAAAAGGTCGAATGTAGTTAAAATTCCAGTTTTTAACAATTGATGGTAGTTTCTTGCTTTATGTTTAAAAATCTCGAAGAAGAAAGAAGAAAAGTCGATATATTTCTGAATACACAATAAAGATATCTTCGCGCTATTATAACGTCTCAAAAAAGGCCAAAAAACGAGAGTTTTTCGATTTCTCAAAAACTTGATGGGATGAATAAATTCTGAAGCCAGATTCCAAACTTTAGAAAAGTATACTTTGGTTTCTGGGTTTTAACTTTTCTCAAATTTGTTTACCTGTGTTACAGACGTTCGGTTTATTTACCTAAAATAGTTCATTTACATTACAGCACGTTTACCATCTATAACATTATCCTTGGACTTGGTTAGTCATGATATCTGGAGTCACAAAACTATACCAAAATTTAGTCATCTTCAACATAATAATGTTGATCATATAATACTCATGCAAACTGGAAACAGCAACTGTGATACATCTGGCGAGTGTTTGAAAGTCTTAAAAGAAATGCAGGCAGGTTTAGCTTTAAGACAAGATTATAAAAAATCTAGTTTAATAATCACCATTTCACAGAATAAGAAATTAAACCAACCAGAAGAACTACCATATAATTTTTTAATCGGAGGTGATGGTCAGGCATATGAAGTAAGAGGCTGGCAATATGAGAGCAGTATGAAAGGTGTACCACAAGAACGTTCACTAGTAATAGGTGTAATTGGTAAGTTTTGATATAAAACTAAATCCAAACTAAATAATTTAATTATATTTGTTTCCAATCTACAGGTAATTTTGACCACAATACACCCAAAAGAATTCTATTACAAACTGCTCAGTCTCTGATACAAGAATCTGTAAAACGTCGTATGGTAAATAGAAATTATGAAATTTATGGACTTCGTCGTAATGACCATGACCGAAACGAGGGTCAAGAACTTTTCTCAGAGATAATGAATTGGCCTAAATTTAGTGGTTTCCTTACTAAATTCTAATGATTTTTTTAACATCAACAAAATTATGCTAAAAGTACAAAATTTATAGATTTAAGTTTTTTCTCATAATATAAAATATATGGTAGTTATAATTATTAAATTAAGTTTATATTTAAAATAATTGAAAATTATTAATTAAAATTTAAAAAATTTACAAAATTTATTTCTAATCTAATAAAATTTTGAAAAAAAATGAGAAAGTTTTAAGAAAGTTTAATTCTTAAACTAATTTTTCAAATTATGGTTATATCTTATAGGAATTTATGAACAATAGGTTAGCCAAGAAAACTGTAAAAAAATTTGGTTATCTGGATTCTTCAAGACCTTTATTTCAACGAACATTTGAATAGATGGACATAGAAAGATTCTGGATGTATATATACTTTACAAAAATTGTTAAACAGAATGTTTCCAGTATATTTACAATTTGAAATTTTCCCCTGATTTTATTATTTCCATATCTTTTAAGAATAAGAAAAAGATACTGGATCTATAAGGCCAACATTAAAAGAAATATTCTTGAAAATGTAATTTTTATTCATGTGCTTTATTTCTTAAATTAATGTCGATCAAAACAAAACGTTTTGAAAATAATCATGTATAAATCATAAATGTAAAAAAAAACAATAAAAAAATGTGCATTTTAATCTAAACAGATGTACATAATGTTAATTAACTTAAAACTAATAACAATATTTATATAACAATCATTTAAAAATTTTATAAGATCAATTCACTTTTAATCAAATTCCAATTTTCGAAAACTTCCTTGTATTGATTCGATTTGCGACACGAAAGTAGGTTGTCCACTGCTCTTTTCGGCATTATAAGAACTCTTACGCTGTATACCACGATCGCTAAGCAGTCTAATTTCATCTAATTTAACAATAACATCACGTTTTTCTTTTAATTCTTGTTTCCATAATTCTACCATTTCATTAAGAGGCATTTTGCCACCCAACTCTAAGGGCAAACATTCGGGATCAACAGCTTTGGTTAAATCTTTATCGTTGGTATAGACGGTAAGACGATTGCGTATTTTAGAACTGACACGATTTTTAACAAAATCAATCAACCATTTGAGAGTAGAGGGTACATTTACCAAATGTATCTCTTTATGTCTTAAAGGCAATGACTGTTCGCCCCATTTGAAGAGCCGAGCAAATTCTGTGGGATTCCAGTTGGTAACATGGGCGGTGGTTACGCCCGAGAAATCACCCACATGTGTTAAACCCAAAACTTGTGTCTGAGGATCTTCCATGAGATATTCATAGGTTAAGAAATGAGCTTTGGCCTGATCCATGCTGCTATATTTCTTGGCATTAAAACCTTTGGCATTGATGATCACCACACGTCTTCCATTCTTATCACGTTTGGGTGTGGCAAATATATAACCACTGTTTAGAACATCATAAATCTTTTCATCATTCAAATCCAATTGTGTCGTATATTCAGGAAATGTACGCTTGACATTGAGGTACTTGAGTAGTGTTTGTTCAGCCATGGGTACACTAAACTTTTTGGCTCTCAAGAAACGCAACAGAAAATGATCATCCATACGCATATTGAGTATATCTTCGTTTTTCGTTAACCAATTGCGAAATTGTTCTAAACTTTGTTCACGTGTACATTTATCTTCACGTAATTCACGTTTTGCTATTTTCAATAGAGCCTCGGAAAGTACGGCTTCATTTTGATCGACAGTTTGTTTCATTTTGAGTATTTGATAAGGTGGGTTTAAATTTAGGACGTAATGTTAATCTAAAATGAATAGAAAAATATATATCTTAGTACCTATTTAATATGCGTGTTTAATAGATAACAAGTATTTGGATAGATAACAAGTTAGAATGATATATTCGGCTATGCCAAACCTTAAACATCTTTCACCTATTTCGAATATTTAAAAAAATTCATATTATATACATTTTGAAAGCTTAAATAATAAACAAGGAGTGGACCGACCCAGAAAAAAGTGACAAAGTGCCGCATAATTATTTGCATATATACAAAACGTATTCGTGTATCCCGATATTATTATTAATTGATTATTTATTTGCCAATTAGTGGACTTTATATGGAGGCTATGATTAATTTGGGGGCGATCCGGACGAAATGTCGTTCGTGTAACGAGTTATTTCCGATTAAGTGATTTCCAAAAAAGGGCTTTATATGGTAGCTGTTACCAAAGTGATGAATTTTGATGTAATTAAACAAATTTCCTAAGAATCGGTTCAACACAATCAAACAATAAGTAAATGTGATGATTTTCACTACTAAAAACATTTTCTTTGACCCACCCTAATACCTTAAAGGCGCCAACATTTTAAAAACTCATATAAAATAATAATAAATTTCTGTTATAATTTACCCTTGTAGTTAATAATAAAAACTTTTTTTGTAATTTTTTGTTAATAAAACCGCGTAAAAAAATTAAGCAATTATTTACACATATTTTAAATAAAAATAAAGTTAAATATTTGCAAAAACAATGATGAAAAACCCATAAGTTTAATACTAAAAATATTTCTCAAAAATTCAATTTAAGCCGAAATAAAATTCACTGGAGATGTTCATATATGATTTACAGAAATGCAATACAAATAAAATACACAAATTAAGGTTTTTTTCATTTCATTTGTTTTGTTCATTATTAAAATTAAAAAAAAAAAAAAAACTAAAGTTTAAAGCACTCAGTTAAACAAAAAAAAACTGTATTACAAGCTACACGCACCTTTAAATTAACAGACAAAATACAACTGAACTATTCATCAAATACTTAAATACTGAATGAAGGCTCCGATTCGTACAAATTCACAACTATGCAGATGGTACTGCTGTTGATTGCCGCTGCTGCTGCTTGCTGTCTGTAGAAAAACACAGCAATTTCAAATTAGTTCAAGTTCAACATACATTTTATGGTAGAGTTACTTCTTTTTTTGTTTTTTCTTAAATTTTTGTTTGCATTGAATTTTATACAGACTCTTACTACTAACTGACGGCCCTATAATGGAGAAACAATTAAAACTACATACTAACAAAACGGTCAACGAATTTTGTCCGTCATTTAAGCTGCTTGCTCGGCTAGCTAGTTCCCGCGGTAGCGAAATAGCAACAAATATTTTAAGTATGAATAAAACAAAAAGGTGTTAAAAATCTTAGTGTACTAACTACTAAGAGTAGGGCATGTCATAGTTATTACTATAACTGTATACAGTGAAACCTATAAAGCTGACATAAACTAATCCAAAATTGTAATCCAAATGGACCCTGCTAATAATGTGTTTGTTATATAAAGAACTTGAAATATGAATTCATTTAACCTATTCATCAGACATAGACTAGACTATAGACTAGACTATATACTAGACTATAGACCAGACTATAGACAAGACTATAGACTAGACTATAGACTAGACTATAGACTAGACTATAGAGTAGACTATAGACTAGACTATAGACTAGACTATAGACTAGACTATAGACTAGACTATAGAGTAGACTATAGACTAGACTATAGACTAGACTATAGACTAGACTATAGACTATAGACTAGACTATAGACTAGACTATAGACTAGACTATAGACTAGACTAGACTATAGACTAGACTATAGACTAGACTATAGGCTAGACTATAGACTAGACTATAGACTAGACTATAGGCTAGACTATAGACTAGACTATAGACTAGACTATAGACTAGACTATAGACTAGACTATAGGCTAGACTATAGACTAGACTATAGACTAGACTATAGACTAGACTATAGGCTAGACTATAGACTAGACTATAGACTAGACTATAGACTAGACTATAGACTAGACTATAGACTAGACTATAGACTAGACTATAGACTAGACTATAGACTAGACTATAGACTAGACTATAGACTAGACTATAGACTAGACTATAGACTAGACTATAGACTAGACTATAGACTAGACTACAGACTAGACTATAGACTAGACTATAGACTAGACTATAGACTAGACTATAGACTAGACTATAGACTAGACTATAGACTAGACTATAGACTAGACTATAGACTAGACTATAGACTAGACTATAGACTAGACTATAGACTAGACTATAGACTAGACTATAGACTAGACTATAGACTAGACTATAGACTAGACTATAGACTAGACTATAGACTAGACTATAGACTAGACTATAGACTAGACTATAGACTAGACTATAGACTAGACTATAGACTAGACTATAGACTAGACTATAGACTAGACTATAGACTAGACTATAGACTAGACTATAGACTAGACTATAGACTAGACTATAGACTAGACTATAGACTAGACTATAGACTAGACTATAGACTAGACTATAGACTAGACTATAGACTAGACTATAGACTAGACTATAGACTAGACTATAGACTAGACTATAGACTAGACTATAGACTAGACTATAGACTAGACTATAGACTAGACTATAGACTAGACTATAGACTAGACTATAGACTAGACTATAGACTAGACTATAGACTAGACTATAGACTAGACTAGACTATAGACTAGACTATAGACTAGACTATAGACTAGACTATAGACTAGACTATAGACTAGACTATAGACTAGACTATAGACTAGACTATAGACTAGACTATAGACTAGACTATAGACTAGACTATAGACTAGACTATAGACTAGACTATAGACTAGACTATAGACTAGACTATAGACTAGACTATAGACTAGACTATAGACTAGACTATAGACTAGACTATAGACTAGACTATAGACTAGACTATAGACTAGACTATAGACTAGACTATAGACTAGACTATAGACCAGACTATAGACTAGACTATAGACTAGACTATAGACTAGACTATAGACTAGACTATAGACTAGACTATAGACTAGACTATAGACTAGACTATAGACTAGACTATAGACTAGACTATAGACTAGACTATAGACTAGACTATAGACTAGACTATAGACTAGACTATAGACTAGACTATAGACTAGACTATAGACTAGACTATAGACTAGACTATAGACTAGACTATAGACTAGACTAGACTATAGACTAGACTATAGACTAGACTATAGACTAGACTATAGACTAGACTATAGACTAGACTATAGACTATAGACTACTATAGACTAGACTATAGTATCGATATCAAAAATTATTGACAAACCTATATAATTTCGGTTACTTTTCTTACAGATCACCCTGAAACTGTATAATTTTTTAAATCAATTAATGCGTACGTACCGCTATGGCCAATAATAAAGACGTTAAAAACCAACAACAAAAACTCTGTTTGTTTTATTTATAAGAAATACAAATTAAAGACAAAAGTCTGTTTTTTATACGGAATGGGAAGATTGCATCACATAGAGACAATATAGATAAATAAGATTTATATAGCAACAACACCAAAAATAAAAACATTAGCTATAAGAAATAAAACCTAAAATTTATTTAAATTTTTGTTTTGGAATCTGTTGGTTCCAAAAACTAACTTCTTTCTTTTACCTAACCTACACTTACAAATACACTCACACACACACACACCCATAACATGTTGAGAATTACATAGATATGCTTATTAAATTATTCCAAAAAAATTAACAAAATAAAAGCATGGTGCTAAAGTTATTTAAAATATACAAATTTTGGTTCAAGATCTTAGATGAATTTAAACGATTTGCTTTTTTTGAATTTAATACAAACCATGTTAATTAACCTGCAGCTAAAAATTAACAAAACACGACAAACTTTAACTAATAATAACAATGAATTTCGTATTTTACATAAAAAACTTTAAATGATTTAATTTGATACAAAAAAATGCATAAACTTTGAAAGAAAAAGAATTATTTAAAACAAGTAATCTACTACTGAATGTCTGTCATCAGTCATTCACCGTTTGTGGAGTCAATAAACATTAATTGTTTGTATATTAATGATTATATTCAGACAATTGGTTGAATTATATTTCTTTTAATTGATTTTTATCAATGTAACTTTAACTACTTAGTTTCTTATTGTTATTTTTTTAAAGATAACATCGTGCGACAGCAATTATTGGACCTGGACGAGACCATATGCACTTGATACTAGAGGTCATTAGAAGTGAAACTGCGTTTTCAGTTTTTCATTTTGTGATCTTTTATCCTTTTTAAAGGACTTTAAACTTGTATGGAAATTTCTAAGACGCTCTAGCCATGTCAGTTCGTCTGTCTGTTGAAAGCACGATAGAGTCCGAATGAGAAGAGCTAAGGAGCTAGAATTTTGCATAAATATTTATACCCTACACCACTTTAGTGGGGAGGGTATATTGGATTTGTGCTGATGTTTGTAATCGTTTTCTGAGTCGATTTGGCACGCACGTTTTATTTGACCCAAGGACGAAGCCTATTGAAAATGGTTAAAATCGGTCCATTATTTCACCTAGCCCCCATAGAACAGAACCCCCCGAAAAGGGCTTCTGAGCTCATAATTATGTAAAATATACAGATATATCGATAAAATACGGCACAACTAAGTTTTATAGAAGTCTTGATGACCGTGCCAAATTTCATAAAGATCGGGCCCCATTTGACCCTAGCTCCCATACAAAGTCCCCTTCAGAAAATTACTTGAATGTCCCAAATTAACTTATAAACACAAATATCGCGATGAAATTCAGCACAATAAAATATTATGTAAATATAAATATATTCACAAAATTTTATCGGGCTTGGTCCATATTTGCCCCTAGCCCCCATATAAAGCCTCTTTCAGAAAATTAGTTTTTCATCCATAAATTGCTTAAATGTATCGGAACAAGGGAATATTGAAGATAAATGCTTTATTATGAAAAATAAATCACATTTAATATTCATAACTGGTGTAGGGTATCATATGGTCGGCCACGCCCGACTATACTTTCTTACTTGTTTTATTGATGCAGTTTGTGTGGTATTGCAAATGGGCCATATCGGTCCATGTTTTCGGATAGGCCCCATACAACTGAACCCCCCCTTTACAAATTTTAAAATAACACAGGCCAACAAAAGTAAAGGAAATGGTCTAAGCTTTCTTTGGAGTAAAAAAAGTCTGGCAGTTCTTGACTGATAGCGCTGAAAATTCGTGTCTGGCCTACTATCCAATAGTACTAACCTTGTTGCTAATAGCTTTCTTTTAATATACATATTGCTTATAAAATAACTTCAATATGTTTTCAACTATGGTCCATTTCACAAAAATATCGAATTTCATTTATTTTTTTCTAATTCTTAAACTAATTTTACGAATTTTGGTTAGATCTTATAGGAATTTATGAACAATAGGTTAGGCAAGAAAACTGTAAAAAAATTAGATTATCTGGATTCTTCCAGACCTTTATTTCAACCAATATTTGAATAGACGGACATAGAAAAGGTCTATCCAATACATAGACCTTTAAACAGAATGTTTCCTGTATATATACGATTTGAAATTTTCCCCTGATATTATTACTTCCATATCTTTTAAGAATTATAAAAAGATACTAGATCTATAAGGCCAACATTAAAAGAGATATTCTTGAAAATGTAATTTATATTGGTGTGCTTTATTTCTTAAATTAATGTCGATCAAAACAAAACGTTTTGAAAATAATCTTGTATAAATTAAAATCAATAAAAAAAATCTGCATTTTAATCTAAACAGATGTACATAATGTTAATTAACTTAAAACTGATAAATATATTTATATAATAATCCTTTGAAAATGATATAAGATCAATTCACTTTTAATCAAATTCCAATTTTCGAAAA